ATTAGTATTATTAGTAGGAGTTGATAAGTTAGTTTGGTCTTGCCAAATGGTACCCAACATTTCTAGATTGGTTATCAGCAGATAAGTTAGCTAAAGTAATTTTGTATCTTTATTTCTTTGTACCTATCACTACTATGACAGCTAAATACTAAACATTTTATTGCTTTTTGTCAGCCTGTAGTGTCTTATTCTGGGTTCTAGCCCTGTTTTGGACCACATTTCTCTCTAGTAAAAGTTAACCTCTCCGAGGTTTTTTGCTGATTCCCTTAATAAAGAGGCCCATGATAGACGTTTAAGACAGAAATATCGGTTCTCCCCCTTTCCGCATAGGCTGCTTTTAACTGACAATGAGTATGTCCACCAGAATCTATTTCAGAGTCTATTTCAGAAATCATCTCGAAAAATTGTAATCGATTGGACTTGGTTCCTCCGCTCTCTCCTACCCCTTCTTCCCACCACTGCCAGCAAATTTCAGCTATTCACCGAGATGCCTGCTTCAGCTTCTCCCCATCTTTTTGGTCTTGCTGCTAGTTTTTGCGTACGGCGAGCGAGCCGAAATCCGAGATGGCATGGTGTCAGAGAACGGCCGAGCCGCTCTCGCTACGCCGCCTAATTTGTGCCTTGATTTGCCGAGCTCTGGACGTTCCTTTTTTGCTGGGACGCATATAAGCCTTGCTTCCTGCGAAACCTCGAATTCTAAGACGGTTCTGTCTGGTTAAGCTAGACGACATTCAAAAAACTCTGAAAGAAATGCTTCGGATTATGGGTTGTTTGAATTGCACTCAGCTCGAGCGGGTGGGTTTAAGTGCTTTGGCATGTTCTCTAGTTTGCACGTAGTTAGTTCATTCCATTTGTTCTATGTACCGCCAGTGCGATTCTCTTCTTTCGCTGTAAAGGTCTGACCTAGTCATGGGGACAAGGCCGAGTTAATTGCATAGACTAGGACAGAAAAGAACCAGCGGTGACCTAATTTAGTCTTAAATAGGAAAAATTAGCAAGGACATGTAGGAACAAAGCGCCGTTCTTCAATACGGATTCGAACCCCTGACCTTTAGCACACCAATCAAGCGCGTAAGCCATTGCGCCACAGCAGCAACACTTCGTTTATCCGATCTCACTTCTTTTCTACTTAATTTCCTTACATATTTCTTTTCGTTCTTTCTTCCAAGAATTAAATTAGGCTCGTAGCAGCTGCGCTTTCCACTTGCCAAGGTTCTAAACTTCCATCGAGTCTTCGTCTCCCTTCTCTGGCTCACGTCCCGGCGACAAAGCTTTTGTTGCAAGCTGGCTCATCCTTCCACGAATTTGCCTACGGCTATGCACTTTCGTACACAAACCCCTTGTGGCCGAAGAAAAAACATATAAAGTGCATTCTCCAAGAACAAAACCTAATTAGGAGCATTTTCTGAGGAAATGCTGCTCATGGACTACAAATTCATCTTGCTTTCGTCCATTCGTTATATTAAATTGCTCACTGTTATAAAATTATCCTAATAGAAGCTATGTAAGCATTAAATACTTCTCATTCCCGTATGATCCAGAGAACACCACCCTCATGACACAATCAACTATTACACATGACACATCCAACGAGCTAGAAGGTCCTTACTCCATTCTTCGTTGTAATATGAGCTTTATAGATGGCTATTTCTTGCACTAAGGTTACGTCCGTTGTTGTAAATCATCCGTAATGTCTCCTCGCGGAACGCTTTGATGGATTTCTATAACTCACATTGGTTTCTAGGACATTAATCTTTCTTTTCATATGGGTTTTCATATGGACGTAGCATTTTTCTTTTCGAATAAAAAACAACTGGGACTCAAGGAATGGATTCGCTTTATGAGAGGAAAAATATCTGCAGCTTCGCATTTACTACGATTGATT